GAGCGATCTTTCGGCGACTTAGGGTTCTCGTGGGCCGTCTGGCTTCTTGGGAGGCGTCAAGTGCTGTCGTGCAGCTCAGGAGCGATCCCAGGGAACCCAGACCGCCCCGGCTGAGTTCGGTCCGGGGCCGGCCCAGGTTTGGGGTCCCTGGGGGGGGGGGACGATGGGGGGGGGGGAACAATCTCACACGCCTGGAGACCCACAAGGGGTCGGCGGATTTGGATTTGGAGGAGGAGGAAGAGGAGGAGGAGGAGGAGGAGGAGGAGGAGGAGGAAGGCAGGGAGGGAGGGCGGGAGGGAGGACGGAGGAAGGGACGGACGGCCCCTCCCGCTACTCCCGTGCCCGTCGCCCCGCTTGGCAGGCTGCGGCAGGAGCGGGAGGAGCTCCGGCGCCTGGACCAGGAGCGCCAGTCGTCGCTGGCCAGCGCGGAGGCTGGGAGGGGGCGTCGGGGAGAAGAACCAATGAGGACCGAGGAGCATCGAGATGGAGGAGGAGGAGGAGGAGGAGGAGGAGAAGGGCGATGAGGATGAGGATGAGGATGAGGATGATGATGATGATGATGATGATGCTGATGATGATGATGATGATGATGATGATGATGATGATGATGATGATGATGATCCTTGCCAATCTGGCGCAGGCTCCAGCCCGCTTTCAGGTGAATCAGGTCTGGACCCGTTGGTGCAGCCTTTCAGGACGGCCGACCTCATCCGCGCTGGTGAGGTCTCCAGTGCCAGGTGAGCGCCGTCGGTTGCTCGTTTCGGGGTACGTACTCTGCTGAAAAGGCCGCTTCCTATCGTGACGATGTTCTGCTTCTCGCCTGAGCGCTTGTGCGCTTGGAGCGGGCGAATCGGAGGCGTCGCCCGCCTCTGTTTTTTCCCCATGCGGCGGCGGAAGCGGTACGTGGCGCGATAGATTCATCTTGAGATTCATCTTGCGTTGGGGCTTGTTTTTTTTTTTTCTTCTTCTTTTTTTATTTTTTTTCAAAAAAAAAATCTTGCGTTGGGGCTTGGTCCAGGATGAGGAGGAGCGAGGCGGAGGATCGCGGAGGAGGAGGAGGAAGAGGACCGAGGATGATGAGAAGGAGGTGGAGGATCGATGAGGAGGAGGAGGAGGAAGAGGACGAGGAGGAGGATCGAGAAGGAGGAGGATGAAAAGGAGGAGGGGGAGGCGGAGGAGGAGAGGGGAGGCCCGCGCGCTGCCCCATAAGTAGTCGTGGCCCGTACCCTTTGGGCCGGGCCGGCGCTCTGCCGGACAGGGCGGATCGTCCGCGCCGGCTCCTGCCGCTGCTCCGAGGTGGTCTTTGCACCTCGGAGGGGGCAGGGGGGGTGCCAGCCTGGAACACGTCCCCATGCCCATGTTTGACATCACCTTGCCTCGGTGTCAATCCCAAGCATTCCCTCAGTTCCTGTGGGCACGTCCCTGAGACTGGCACGGCCTCATCTCAGGGATAGGGATAGGCTCGAGGCTGATTACGTAGGGGGGGTGTTATTTGGAGTCAGTTTTGTATCCCCCGGGCGATAACGGGCATGACGGGGGGTGGAAAGTGGGGGGCGGGGCCGGGCCCGTCACGATGCGCACCAGCGCCGTCTGCACATGCTTTGGGATGGCGAATTCCCAGAGGGCGCCGGCTCCAATCGCGAAGTGACAACGGTGGGAGGGGAGGGGGGGGGCGGGGCCAGGGGCGGGCCTTGTCGCGAATATGCAAATGTGCGCTTTTCTGACATGCGCTCTTCGCTTTTTGGTCAAGTGTGGTTCAATGGCACGATGCAGAAAACATCAGGGCGCCTTGCCGGCGTGTGTCCCCCGACAAGATATGCCCTACCAAAGTTGGAATGCTCAGTCCGAGGGGGTTGGGGTTGCATCAGTATATTTGCAAGTGGTTGACCAGCAAGAGGTGGGCTCTGTCGGGGAGGATCGGGATGGAATCTTGTGGAGGGTTGCGGCAATCTGGGTCGACTGGGCTCGGGATAGCTGTCGCAGACCATCAAGAAGCTGTGGAAGCTGTTCCAGCACCGTGCCCGGCGCCACCTCTCGCGGCCAGACGCCTGTCCCGGGAGCCAGTACCTGGACAAAAGCCACGAGGAGTGGGATCGAGGAGAAGAATCGGGGACGAGGGGGAGGCAGGGATGGGATGGGGGGGAGGCGGTCCGCCTCCTTCTCGAGCTGAGGAGGAGACAGGCTCCTTGGCCCCCATGTTTGGCGTTTGCTGAGCAGCCGCGGACGTTTCCTGAGCAGTCTTACCCTTCTCGATACTGTCTTTCAGCGCGCTTACTAGATTTTTCCATTGCAATGACGGTTGTTATTCTGCCCTCTGTTCCTCGAGTTTTCTTTTCCTCATTCTCGTAGTCCTTTCCGTTCTCCGAATGTCGAAGGCGGAGACATCGGAGCGCCGTCCAGAGTTTTTCGATGCTTTGATCGGAGGTTGACAGACCTCCCACCCTGACACGTCGATTAGTGAATTGGCCGTTTTCGGTTCGCGAGAGGGCGTCGCGGCCGTTCTTTTGGCGTGTCCAGGTCCGTCGGTTTCGGTCCTGGGCCGTTTTCACTAAAGGGTGGTTTACCAAAGGGAGGTTTGTCCACCGCCGATTTGAGGGGCCTCTGGAGGCCTCCAGGGGCCGTCTTGGGGCCTCTGGGGACCTCCAGGGCCGGCGCGGGGGCAGGCAGGAGAGCGGGGGGGAAATCAAGCAGGAGGCCCGAGGAGGAGCATCGAGTCGAAGAAGAAACATTTGCATAACCAGAAACTTTCGGAGCCCCGCGTGGGGATCTGCAACGCAGTCCCATTGGCGGCGCCTCCTGCGCCGGGGACAGGGCTTCAGCGCAGATCCAAGACATCCGCGAGGAGGAGGAGGAGGAGGAGGAGGAGGAGGAGGCAGGGGAGGAGGAGGAGGACCGTCGACGGTTGATGTTAGTGCTGCTCTGTGGTCCTCGTTCCCTAGGCCATCTGGCGAACAATGTTGGACACTCGTTTGCTTCGGGGAGGTCGCTCACGGTGCGCGACCTCCGTCGTGGGCCTGACTCTCGGCCCCCCGTTCAGGCCCTCTTGGGACCGCTGACAAGCATGAACCCGGCGCGACCCCACTAGGGGAAAACTTCTATTGCGTGGTCACAGTGCTTGCCATTGCTTGGCATTGCTTCGCATTGCTTAGAATTGCTCGGCACTGCTTGGCATTGCTTGGCGCCACTCGGCATCCGAGGAACCCGAGGAAGCCCGGGAATGCCAGGAAGAGGAGCCCGAGGAAGAATCTCAGGGCAACGGGCAGTGTCCCCCCCCGAGGCACCCCACTTCTTCTTCACCAGGCAAGAGTCCCTGAGGGGTAAGCCTACTGGGGGAACCGATTTTGACCCATGATGTGACACATCTCATGCTCTTGCAAACATCCCACCCACCCACCCGCAACTTGGTTTGCAAAACCTCTCAAGACCGTGACGGTAGGTTCAAGTGGCACTTGGCAACGACGCCGGCGGCGACGACGACGACGACGACGACAACGCCGACGCCGACTACGACGACACCGACGGCGTCTCCGACACGGGGGAACAGACATTCCCTCCGTCGAGGAGGTGGCGCCCCGGTGGAGCGGCGCCGCCCGCCGGCTGCCCCTCCCCCCCCGCGCAGGCGGAGCGGGCGGCGAGGGCCGAGGCCCTGGAGCGCGAGCAGGCGCCGTGCGCGCGCGCGGCCCTGGGCAGCGGGGGTCGGCAACGCGCAGAAGGGGGCAGGGGCAGGGGGAAGGCTTCTTAGAAGCGCCCCTGCCTCTTAGAAGGCGCGGGCCTTCTCTATATAGACGTGAGGCCGAGGCTTCTTAAGAGGCAGGGTGCTTCTAAGAAGCCTTCCCCCCTCCCCCTCCTGCCCCCTTCGGCGCGCCGCCAAGGGGGGGGGGCTTCGGGGGAGGGCGGCTGCGTCTCGGGGGCCCCCAGACGGTGTGGCGGCTGCGCGCGGCGGCGGTGCCTCGCCGATGCGGCGGCGATGCGCCGATGCGGCGTCGGCGGCGTCGGCGAGGTGTCGGCGCCGTCGGCGTGGGGAGAGGCAGACTGCGCATCGAGTGGCATCGGAGGCATCGGCGATGCAGCGCGATCCTCCGACCCCATCAACTCCGACCCCAAGCGGGATCGGCGGCGCGCCCAGGGGGGAAGCGAGGAGGGGCAGGCCTTCTCAGAAGGCTCGGAGGGCCCTCGGCCTTCTGAGAAGTTTTCCAAACCTTCCCCAGAGACACAGAGACCCTCTCAGAAGGCGCGAGGGCTTCTGCGAAGTTCCGCCGCCTTTGAGGAGGCCTTCTTCTTCTCCTCACTTCCCCCCTCTCTCGCCGCCGACAGATGGCGACTACACCCCAGACCCCCTCAGGTCATGAGCAAATACATGACGGGAGGTTCTTCGCTGTTGTCGGCTTCCTGGGCCCTTTCCGGACCTCGGGGCCGTCAAACAACGAGTTTGGATGAAACACCAGTCCCGGGGAATTGGTCCAGACCTTTGGGGGTCGACTTCATGCAAACATCATGATGTTGGAGGTCTGAGACCGTCTGAAGGACGGCCCCCAGACGGTTGGAGTCGGCTGGGGTTCTGAGTTGGCCTGATATTTGTTCCGGCGGGAGTGGGAGTCAAGAGGTTCGGGGTGCTGGGTTCGAGGAGTCTTTTCTTGCATTCCTGGCCCTCCACGGGCCCCTTTCGGGCCCGTCAAAAACGGATCCCGACACCTGATCGCCCTCGCACAGTGCTTGTAACTCCGGCTGCTTTCATTGATGCGTCCTGTTTCGCGCGCAATTTGCCGGCGACACCGCATGTGCGAAGGCTCGGTGGAGGACCGACTTCACGCCAGTCTTCGGGCCACGGTGCGCCGCCACAGAGCTGTAGCCGAAGGCTGGCAGACAGAGCAGGAGAGCTCGTCTACGATCCCAGCCTGCAGGACGGCCGCTTCTGCATGTGGGCTGGCTCGCGCTGCTTCCTTTGACCAGGGCCCCTGCATGATTGGGGTCTCGGGCGATTGGCTGACGGCTGCCTCCAG